CCTGAAATCACTTCCATGCTTCTGTGAACTGTTGATTCTCATTGGTAATTAGATCTGGAATTATTTGATAAAGATTTCACATGAATATGTGTAGAGAAACAGTCAAGTCTAGAGGGATAATTGTAAAGTTGGAAGAAGGATTGATTGTTTGCAAGACATGTGCTGCTAAGCTTAATGTGGTTAATAACTTTGCTATCCCCAAAAGAGTTTGTTGTTAATCATTTATTTAGCGTGATGATTTCATGTTTGGAGTCAAAATCTTGTTGGCCACGAACTAGTATCGATGGTGATTACATAAACATGTTCATTTGTGATTAGGCATCGTAATAAATTGTACAAGAACGTTCTAAGTTGTTGGGTGCTATTTCTCATTTATTTTGGACCTGGTAACTAGTCAGGTAACACCCACGCAAGGTTGAGTCAAATAAACTTTGGGCCTGTTGTTGTGATGATAGCCCAACAAGTTCTTGGTAATACATGTCATTTTATTAGTCTAGTGTGTAACTTTTTTGTTAACAATCTCAAAAGGATGAAACGTTAAGGTATAATTAGTGATTTGATAACAATGGTCAAAGTCAAGCCTATTCCATAAATAAGTTAAAGTTCCATAATTCTGGACTTGTTACAATTAATCTCAAACTTAGTAAAATAAATAGTTTAAAAACTCGTAGTAAGATAGAGAGGTTTCCTTTTTGTTTTAACCACCCGGTATCTAAAGCTCAGTGGGGCTAGATTTGGATTTGCATCAAGTAAACCCACTAAAGAAAGTTTAGTTCTCTTTACCAAAAGGTTCTCCATTCCCCACGAGACATCTGGTTAAAGGTACAAGATTTCCAACCATCTGTCCATATCCCTCGGACGTAATAGATGGGTTAACCCCTTCCTATCATTAATTAGCCATTTGAAAATTAAATGGAAATGAGCAATTATATCTCTTAAACTTCCATTTAAATCGCAATAGATAGCCATCAACTGGCTATAAGTGACACATCCACAATTTATTAAACTCATATCACCTGCATTCCATCTTAAAAGCTGAAAAAAACTTTTACTGTTTATGCAAATATCACTTATAAATTACTACTGTAGTACATAACTGACAGTCACGTCAATCGTGGAATTGAAGGAGCATTATTTGTACAGACACTGTACTTTGTTTATATGCCAGGTGACAGCCCAGAATTAGACCAATCTTCTACTGTGCAAGATTGGGATAAAAACCTTGTCTTAGAAAAGTAATATCTGTGATAGCGTTGATGAATTAGTGGAATATGAAGCAACCTCACTACAAAGCTACCACATGCCAATTAAGCTCTAAATTCATTCCATTGTTACTCTAATCAGATTTTCTAAATCCATTGATTTACTTGCGAAAACGTCACATCCTATAGCACGATGATCGAGGCAAGCAAATAAATCCCTGGCTGAAATAGCCTGAGTCTGTCTGTTGTCATCCACTTTCTATATGTAGTATCTATTGTCAAACGACATTTAGTAGCATTAGAATGTTATAGAGATAGAGCTATACCATTCGGATTTCCTTGCTCATAGAAGCTCCGAAGAAGATAGACTGCTTCAGAAGCATTATTCCAGCACTCTATTTGAAACCATTTTTTGATGAGGTAAATCCACTGTTAGAAAATGAAAGCAAATAAATATCAAAGACCAGCGGGGGTTGGGGGGTTGGCAATTGTAAGTGAACAAAGAACACAAAAAGTTAAACTGATAGTGGAGCATGCCGACCTCTACCCACAGCTGGGAAGGGAGAGGGGTGGGAACCTTTGTTTAAACCAAAATACTTGATCACACATCAGTCCTCAAGGACTAGGTTCCTTGTTTTCCAAAACGGTTGGCTATGTTATCCACATTCTATAATGGTATTGCAAACATACATCTTTAGATGGATGCATTCCGCATATTTCGACAGGTAACTAGAGATGGATGGAGAAGAAAACAACTTTAGACAGATGCATTCCGCATATTTCGACGGGCAAGAATCAGTGATGAGGAAAACAGCAAATGGTTAAGGCTGAATCATGCCAGATCAGTGAAATAATACAAACTACCATGCATTTAGAATTTTCACTTGAAGGAACTCCACATCCTTTCTCAGCTATATTCATTCTCTAAAATTATAATAGCAGTTTCTAGAGCTTCTAAAGCACATCCACAGAATGTTTTTTCTTTTTCCATCTATAAGAGCAATTTCACGTTTCTTCTTTACACACATTACTAATAAGCTGTTTGGCCAAGCTTCTCAGAGGCCACAAGTTCCCTTTTCACAAAAAAAAAAAGTGTTTGTTTTAGAGAGTTGAGGTGTTTGCCCAAGCTGCTTGGAGAAAAATAATTACTCCTAACTAGAAGCAGAAGCCACTTTTGAGAGCAGAAGCTGTTGTGATTTTCCGCTAGATGAAAATACCCTTAGCAAAGCATTTCATATACCGAAATAACCCTACTTAATTTATCTAATTGTTACGCTATTTTTTTTCGTAATCGTAGTGTCCGGCCAACTTGCACACACCTCGATTAATTCTAGGGATAGTTGCTAACTCCCACCAGTAGAGACACCGGGTAAATCTGTCCACCAAGGCTCAGACAGATGGGAAGAATTCATCTAGTGTTTTCATAATAAATATTTAAAGCTATGTATCTACTTGAAATACATTAAAATTAAGTAAATTTTTTCATGTCCTTATTCGTAGTTCGCTAGTTAAAAGCATATTTTTGGTCAAACACAAATGATTGTTCAAAAGTTCTTTTCAAATTGATTAGTCTAACATAAACTACTTCTCTTAAAAAAAATATATACTTTTTCAAAAAAAAAAATTCAAAAAAATAAGAAGATTTTAGAAGTTTGGTCAAACGGTCTATAATTCTAAAGCATAATAATCTCTTTGTGCTTACATTGCAAATGCAGAGTATATCCCAACAACTATGCCTTGGAAATGAAGAGTATATACCCCTAATGAAAATATAAAGTCTTAATTGAGGATGTTTTGAAGTGGGGGGAAACAAAAGTATATGATGCCAGCATACACTGTCCAGAAACTGACTATGACCAATAACTTCTTTTGATATTGAAAACCAGCAGAATTTGTGTTCGCCGGGCACGAAGGGGTTAACTCTTTTTTTTTTGAATGAAGAAACGGCATACCTCTTTTGTTCAAGAGCTATAGTTGAATCAATCAACAAACCAGCTACCACATATGACTTGTTCTATCCTTTGGCTATCCACTATAGCCACAGTGCTGCAATCTATGGATCAAACACCAGTACAGTGGTTCCCTGCCTTCTGGCAAACCAGCAAACACTTGGCAAAATTTCAACAAGTTGGGGCAGCAGAAATGAAAATTGAGGATCAAAGATGGTAAAACAGAAAGTGAAGGATAACTCTTAGATAAGTATATATAACTGGGTTACTAGGCTGATCTTTAAGCGATACAGCAAATTAGTATATATTGGTCACCCACAAAAGACTTTCTGTACTCTAACCTTGCCAATGGAAATGAGCAATGGTAAATTCATGCGAGGATCAAATTTGACATATCTAGGATTAAGGAAACACATGCAGATAAAATATAGAGTACTAATTATGCTAATCTGTATCTAAGATTAAGTAACTCGTTTCAAATCCTTTCTCCCTAACTAATTGTCAAAAACACTTCTGGCCATAAAAATCTGAGTACTTTAAAGGTGTTCCCAAAAAAAGAGAAAAAGAAAAAGGAGTTTGAGAATTCTAAGCAGGCTTGAAGCAAAAATGTGCACACTCAACGGGGAGGCTATTAGGAAATAATAACACAAGCAGGTACATGATAAGAAAAGAATTATATTTAAAGATTTAAAAAGACAACTGTAAATTTAATTTTTTTCTCATTTAACAGTAACCATTTATTTAAAACAAAGTTCAAGAACTGGCCAAACATTATCCATTTGCAGGAAATCTCATAACTATATCTCTCTGGATTAGGCCAAACATCTCCACAGGTTTTACATCAGCATGCAGCTCATAGGTAGAATTAGCTCGTGATCTTGCTTCTGACCCTTAGTTCCACTAGATCTCCAACTGGCCAAAGAAGACGGGGGATTTTCTAGATCACAGATATTCTAATTTATCTAACGAGGGCATAAACAATTGACCTAACAAAAAAAGCTACTATTTGTGACTGGATGCTTTTTCTTGAAAAGCTGAATTATTAAGAAGTAAATTCAGTGATTAATATCAGCTTGGGTCAAACCTAGTGGGAAGCTCAGAGCAGCTGGTATTCAGTGATAGTATAGATCCACAACCTCCAAATTTATCATTTGCACATCCATAATATGCTTCTTTTATTCCTAGCAAAAAAAAAAACAGGTTATGCTCGAGAAAGGCGCAAACGTTATATAAAGCAAGACGAACAGCTAATGAAATGCTTCAACATACCAAGATGTGATAAGGCTGCTGCACACATTATAAACGGCTCACAGGTAACATACAGAATGCACTTTGAGAATCTTTCAGAAATTTCAAGAGTGAAAGTCCATTTTTCTGTCACTGTTCAAATAGAAAATCAATTGCTTCTATCTCCGCATGTCTTGTAGCCTGGATTCACAGAAAAGCTTAGCCAGGTTTACATGATGAGGAAATAAGTGCACCTGAATGCAGAAAGCCTTAAATAATTACTAAAAGCCAATAGTAACCATAACAAGCAAATAATCATGCAAGTATCAACTGCAATAGCCTAATATGGAAATCAATTTCAAAAAATGCAATGGCTATATATTCTTCTTGGGCGAGATAGTAAAAGATCTATGCATTGATCAATGTTACAAAAATCTAAAGTAGAATAATATCAACTAAACCAAGATACAAGACACAACAGTACAAAGCTAGCTAAATTATAGTTTTCTAGGGTGCCATAGTAAAAAATATGTGTATCGTCATAGAATAATATCTCTCTATATATATAGGAGCCAATTTTTATATAAAGGATTTTTTCTTTTCATATGGTAAACCTCAACTCCCCTCACACCCCAGGCCAACACTGTTTTTTTTTTCCAAATTTCCACTTGGTGACTCGAACCAACCTTTGTGGCGGAGGATACTTTCTACTAGGCTATCCCTTTATCATCCATTTTTTAGAAAAGAACGTCCGTAGAAAATCATTTTTTCTCCAGCCTTCTGGTGAAAACAGCATGACTGAGCTTTAGGAAAAACATTGAAATGCTTTAGAGGCTAAATATAATATTTTGTATAGTTGCTCAGTACCACGGAGGGTGAGATATCACTACTGCAACACAACCTCTTGACGAGATATTGTTGTCCACTCTTATATCAACTTGACACAATAAACTACTGTATTAGTAGTATTAGATATCAATAGTAGTATGTCTTTATAATGTGAGAAATTATTGACACACTCCTGAGTCTATTCTTTGGTTTCTTCCTCCTTTTTTTTTTTCCAAAACTCAAAATAAACATAACGCAAAAACCGCAGTGGTCGAGAAAAAAATCCGCAAAGAGCGTCACCTCTCCAAGTGCGTCTCTTTTCTTTGTTTTGTTCGTTTTTTAATTCCTTCTACAAGCGCATCACTATTGTCTATTGTATCATATATTTTGCAGAAATATTTTGACACTGTGATATAGTTTACTTATTTGTTTGATTTAAATGTAACATTTCATAGTAGGACACCATCTGTTTGATAAAATGTCTATAAGACTTGGAGATGTTGTGGACGTGTTATTGTATTTGAAAAATCCCTGTCTGTTTGATTGACTCCTTTCTCTTGTTACTTATATCATGTCTTCTGCTTTGCAGATGGCAAGCTATGAGGAACATACATTTGAATTTATGAAGCTCGCTTTAGAACAGGTATGGACATATTATATTGCTGATATGGTATATGTGTGTGTATATTTTATATTGACGATTCTCCAATCAAGTGTACAACTATAAGTTGAGGTCAGTAGTAGAACCAAGAATTTATACATGGGGATTCAGACAAATCAATAAAATGTGAGACATGGGATTTGAACATGTAATCTAAAGCAACTTTTGACCCTGTTTGCCACTTCACTAGACTTTATTCCTTATATCAAGGGGATTCAACAACTTATATATAGCCAAACAGAATTCATTTTGGCTCTACTTGCAACGTATAATTTTTTAATGAAGGGCCCTTTCCGCCACTAGTTGAAGTGTGGAACTACAAGTTGATCTAAAAAATGGAAATTAAGAGTTAAGAGTTATTATTGTTAGACTCCTTAACATATTGGCTCCCCAGCTCTTCAAATTATGAGGTCAAATTTATATTATTCTTGAGGGAGCTGATAAAGACATTTGTAGTTTTTTCTACTACTTTTTTCCCACTTTGTTTCACTAACTCAATCATTAAGCAAGTCTGCTTCACAAAAAGATGGGTATAAAATTAAGATAAAAGTCTTTTGGCTGGGGTCATGATGAAAAGTTACCAGGTAAAATGATCGGGTAGGACTTTGTAGTTCAAAACTGACTCGATACTGCTTATCTGTGCAATCTGGTGACAATGTGTTCTTTCTTCCTTCTTTTGTCACCATATGTAGAACCTAGTTAGGACTTAGGATACTAGTTTCCTTTTATTTTTGCTTTTTTTATTGCAATTCTACCCGTATTCCTAATACTTTTTTCTTCTGCCAGGCAAAGGATGCATTGGCCAATCTTGAAGTTCCAGTGGGGTGAGATTCTTGTTGAAGTTATTTGTGGACTTCGAAAATACGTTAGCATAATCTAGTTTAGCTCTCAGGGGAGTGCATCCACAGAACCTTCTTTTTTACGTATTGGTGCCTTGGTGGTATTTCATCCTCAATTAGGCCCATGTTGACATAGGAAACTATGCCTCCTTGAGTGTTACTTCGTTGATGATTGTGGATGCATATTAAAATTTCCCATTTGTATAGTAGAGGAACACTTTTGCTAAGTCAAGTCAAGTCAAGCGCGCTCATTGAAACCTCTGTCAGACCTTAATGAAGTGTTGAACAGTATGTACGTTATGTAACGGTCATGTTACAAACATTATGCCCACAAGGCGTAACAGGATTTGGCTGGACTAAAATTTATCTGGACCATAACTTGGCCTACCAAATAGTCCCTTTTATCATGAATCCCTTTTGATGCAGTTCCCTATGTCCTTGTCTTTTCTTTAGTTGTGCTTTGGTCAGTTCGCATATTTGATTTATGTATTTCCTCAGTCCAGTTGCGTTATTGTTGAGGATGGGGAAGTCGTTGCCTCTGGAAGAAATCGAACGAATGAAACAAGAAATGTAAGTTTTCAGCTCTTATTTTTCTTAGTAAGATCTTATTAAGCATCTTCCATTTTGTTAGGTTGTTAGGTGCTAACTTGATGTCAATATCTATGCTATAGATTATTTATCTTGGACACTTCTATTCATTTGTACTCGAGAAATCTTTTATGCCTATGTGGTCCACATATATGCTCTAATGAACTTTTCAAAGAAAATGATGTGTTGTAATCAAGAGGTTGTGTTGCAGTAGTGATATCTCACCCTCCGTGGTACTGAGCAACTATACAAAATATTATATTTAGCCTCTAAAGCATTTCAATGTTTTTCCTAAAGCTCAGTCATGCTGTTTTCACCAGAAGGCTGGAGAAAAAATGATTTTCTACGAACGCTCTTTTCTAAAAAATGGATTATAAAGGGATAGCCTAGTAGAAAGTATCCTCTGCCACAACCATGAGGTTGGTTCGAGTCACCAAGTGGAAATTTGGAAAAAAACCATTGTTGGTCTGGGGTGTGAGGGGAGTTGAGGTTTACCATATGAAAAGAAAAAAACCTTTATATAAAAATTGGCTCCTATATATATATATATATATATATATAGAGAGAGAGAGAGAGAGAGAGAGAGCGAGAGAGAGAGAGAGAGATTTTTCTTGATAACTATCTTATTTTTTGCCTCGTATCATGTCGCAGGTATTTTTTTTACTTCATTGACGATGCACATATTTTTTACCATGGCACCCTAGAAAACTATAATTTAGCTAGCTTTGTACTGTTGTGTCTTGTATCTTGGTTCAGTCGATATTATTCTACTTTAGATTTTTGTAACATTGATCAATGCATTGATCTTTTACTATCGCACCCAAGAAGAATATATAGCCATTGCATTTTTTGAAATTGATTTCCATATTAGGCTATTGCAGTTGATACTTGCATGATTATTTGCTTGTTATGGTTACTATTGGCTTTTAGTAATTATTTAAGGCTTTCTGCATTCAGGTGCACTTATTTCCTGATCTTAAACCTGGCTAAGCTTTTCTGTGAATCCAGGCTACAAGACATGCGGAGATGGAAGCAATTGATTTTCTAGTTGAACAGTGGCAGAAAAATGGACTTTCACCTCTTGAAGTTTCCAAAAGATTCTCAAAGTGCATTCTGTATGTTACCTGTGAACCGTGTATAATGTGTGCAGCAGCCTTATCATATCTTGGTATGTTGAAGCATTTCATTATCTGTTCGTCTTGCTTTATATAACGTTTGCGCCTTTCTCGAGCATAACCTGTTTTTTTTGCTAGGAATAAAAGAAGCATATTATGGATGTGCAAATGATAAATTTGGAGGTTGTGGATCTATACTATCACTGAATACCAGCTGCTCTGAGCTTCCCACTAGGTTTGACCCAAGCTGATATTAATCACTGAATTTACTTCTTAATAATTCAGCTTTTCAAGAAAAAGCATCCAGTCACAAATAGTAGCTTTTTTGTTAGGTCAATTGTTTTTGCCCTTGTTAGATAAATTAGAATATCTGTGATCTAGAAAATCCCCAGTCTTCTTTGGCCAGTTGGAGATCTAGTGGAACTAAGGGTCAGAAGCAAGATCACGAGCTAATTCTACCTATGAGCTGCATGCTGATGTAAAACCTGTGGAGATGTTTGGCCAAATCCAGAGAGATGTAGTTATGAGATTTCCAGCAAATGGAAAATGTTGGCCAGTTCTTGAACTTTGCTTTAAATAAATGGTTACTGTTAAATGAGAAAAAAAATTAAATTTGAAGTTGTCTTTTTAAATCTTTAAATATAATTCTTTTCTTATCATGTACCTTCTTGTGTTATTATTTCCTAATAGCCTCCCTGTTGAGTGTGCACATTTTTGCTTCAAGTAAGCCTGCTTAGAATTCTCAAACTCCTTTTTCTTTTTCTCTTATGTTTCCTTTTCTTTTTTGTTGGGAACACCTTTAAAGTTCTCAGATTTTTATGGCCAGAAGTGTTTTTGACAATTAGTTAGGGAGAAAGGATTTGAAGTGAGTTACTTAATCTTAGATACAGATTAGCATAACTAGTACTCTATATTTTATCTGCATGTGTTTCCTTAATCCTAGATCTGTCAAATTTGATCCTCGCATGAATTTACCATTGCCCACTTCCATTGGCAAGGTTAGAGCACAAAAAGTCTTTTGTGGGTGACCAATATATACTAATTTGCTGTATGGCTTAAAGATCAGCCTAGTAACCCAGTTAGATATACTTATCTAAGAGCTATCCTTCACTTACTGTTTTACCATCTTTGATCCTCAATCTTCATTTCTGCTGCCCCAACTTGTTGAAATTTTGCCAAGTGTTTGCTGGTTTGACAGAAGGCAGGGCACCACTGTACTGGTGTTTGATCCATAGATTGCAGCACCGTGGCTATAGTGAGTAGCCAAAGGATAGAACAAGTCATATGTGGTAGCTGGTTTGTTGATTGATTCAACTATAGCTCTTGAACATAAGAGGTATGCCGTTTCTTCATTTAAAAAAAAGGAGGTAACCCCTTCGTGCAGTGGCGAAGCCAGGAATTTCATTTAGGGTATTCATACTTGAAATAAGTAAAAAAAAAATCCCCGATAAAGGGTGTTCAATATACGTTATATACCATTAAAATCTAATATTTTACCTATATATACCGTGTAATTTTTCGACGAAGGGTGGTCAGTTGACTACCCTTAGGGCTATGTACCTTCGCCCCTGCCTTCGTGCCCGGCGAACACAAATTCTGTTGGTTTTCAATATCAAAAGAAGTTATTGGTCATAGTCAGTTTCTGGACAGTGTATGCTGGCATCATATACTTTTGTTTCCTCCTCTTCAAAACCTCCTCAATTAAGACTTTATATTTTCATTAAGGGGTATACATAGTTGTTGGTATATACTCTGCATTTGCAATGTAAGCACAAAAAGATTATTATGGTTTAGAATTATAGCCTGTTTGGTCAAGCTTCTAAAATCTTCTTATTTTGAAAAGTGCTTTTCGAAAAAGTATTTTTGAAGAGAACCAGTTTGTGTTTGGATAATCAATTTGAAAAGGACTTTTGAGCAACAATTTGTGTTTGGCCCAAAATATGCTTTTGACTAGCAAACTACGGATAAAGACATTTGTTAATATATTTCAAGTAGATACATAGTTTTAAATATTTATTATGAAAACACTAGGTGAATTTTTCCCATCTTGGTGGACAGATTTACCCGGTGCCTCTGCTGGTGGGAGGTAGCAACTACCCCGTGGAATTAGTCGAGGTGTGCGCATGGCCCGGACACCACGATTATGAAAAAAAATAGCGTAACTATTCGATAAATTATGTAGGGTTATTTTGGTATATGAAATGCTTTGCTAAGGGTATTTTCGCCTAGCGGAAAATCACAACAGCTTCTGCTCTGAAAAGAGGTTTCTGCTTCTAGGAGCACTTATTTTTCTCCAAAGAGCTTGGGCAAACACCTGAACTCTCTAAAACAAGCACCTTTTTTTTTTGTGAAAAAAGAACTTTGGCCTCCCAGAAGCTTATTGGCCAAATAGCTTATTAGTAATGTGTGTAAAGAAGAATCATGAAATTGCTCTAGAAGCTGCTATTATAATTTTAGAGAATGAATATAGCTGAGAAAGGGTCTGGAGTTCCTTTAAGTGAAAATTCTAAATGCATGGTAGTTTGTATTATTACACTGATCTGGCCTGATTCAGCCTTAACCATTTTCTGTTTTCTTCATCACTGATTCTTACCCGTCGAAATATGCGGAATGCATCTGTCTAAAGTTGTTTTCTTCTTCATCCATCACTAGTTACCTGTCGAAATATGCGGAATGCATCCATCTAAAGATGTATGTTTGCTATACCATTATAGAATGTGGATAACATAGCCAACCGTTTTGGAAAACAAGGAACCTAGTCCTGGAGGCCTGCTGTGTGATCAAGTATTTTGGTTTAAACAAAGGTTTTTGCCCTTTCTGCTGGGAGATCCCACCCCTCTCCCTTCCCAGCTGTGGGTAGAGGAGGTCGGCATGCTCCATTATCAGTTTAACTTTTTGTGTTCTTTGTTCACTTACAATTGCCAACCCCCCAACCCCCGCTGGTCTTTGATATTTATTTGCTTTCATTTTCTAACAGTGGATTTGCCTCATCAAAAAAGGGTTTCAAATGCACTGCTGGAATAATGGCTTCTGAAGCAGTCTATCTTCTTCGGAGCTTCTATGAGCAAGGAAATCCGAATGGTATAGCTCTATCTCTATAACATTCTAATGCTAGTAAATGTTGTTTGACACTAGATACTACATATAGAAAGTGGATGACGACTGACAGACTCAGGCTGTTTCAGCCAGGGATTTATTTGCTTGCCTCGATCATCGTGCTATAGGATGTGACGTTTTCGCAAGTAAATCAATGGATTTAGAAAATCTGATTAGAGTAACACTGGAATGAATTTAGAGCTTAACTGGCATGTGGTAGCTTTGTAGTGAGGTTGCTTCATATTCCACTAGTTCATCAAAGCTATCACAGATATTACTTTTCTAAGACTGAGAAGGTTTTTATCCCGATCTTGAACAGTAGAAGATTGGTCTAATTCTGGGCTGTCACCTGGCATATAAACAAAGTACAGTATCTGTGCAAACAGTGCTCCTTCAATTCCACGATTGACGTGACTGTCAGTGGTCTACTAGTCATTTATAAATGATGTTTTGCATAAAACAGTAAAAGTTTCTTTCAGCTTTTAAAAGTTTACCGTCAGAGTAAACGGTTTCCTTTTGCTTTTTTCTTTAAAATTTGGGAGGGAGTTGGAAGAGGAGAGAAGGTGCTCATTTCACATTTTACTATGTCTAAATTTGATGATAGGACATTCTTTGATCAATTGCATGTTTTTTTTATATCTGTTTCCATTAAGTAGTATAATTAAATTTCTCAATGGCGTGGAATTTACATGGAGAATGCGCAGACACAGAATACATGCTAAAACTCTAAGGCCTTTTTTCATCAAGTTCAGAAATAAATACTCATCTCTCACTATTGCATGTTACTTTTTAATGGTTTGCACTTTCTTTTTATTTACTTGAGTTAACTACTTCCATCGTCACTTAAAATGAATTTTCCTTGTTAGTAAGGTTCTCACCGTTTAAACCAACTTTTGCTTGGTTAGCATTACACAATGTCTCTTTTTGGTACATATATTATAGTAAAGGGGTTGAGTTCTGATATTTTCTTCTATTTTTTTTGGGGTGGGGGTGGGGGTAAGAAAGGTAAGATCGAACGCAGGTGATATGAGTTTATTATTTTCTGGATGTGTTAGAACTATCATTACCTATCTCCTTTTGCATCCTCGCAATTGATCTCTCTTTTAAAATTTAAATGCATTCTGACAATTAAAACACCTAGAATTCTTGAATGCTAACCCATCTTCATAGCGACTTTAAAAATGAATTGCTACAATGTTAATATCTTTTCTTCTCCGACATCATACTTCTTTTGCCTCTACAAAAAGTCTCAGTAGTTTTCTTGTTTTAATGATTTCAGCTCCAAAGCCTCACAGACCTGTAAAGCAGCGGGTATAGAAGTACTAGTGTCAGTGTTTCCTTCAACTTCTGGTATGAGAGGTACCATCTGTAGGCTATCATCCAATTTTGGTACGATTGTATATAGCTGTTAGACAGCTGAATATATTTTTCTGTGAAGTGTATATCTGTTGATTACTCTTGTACTACTAATTAAGACGAGGGAACGGTTCTTTCTGTTGTTGTACACACTTCAAGGTAAGTTTACTAATCTAAGCAATTAGACCTGTTCTAAATGCTTTACGGAATGTCATGCGTAGGTTTAGTTACTTTGCTTGGAAAATAGGTCACTTATAGCCAATTGATGGCTATTTACTGCAATTTGAATGGAAGTTTAAGAGATACTTCCTCATTTCTATTTAATTTTCAAATGGCTAAAATATGATATGAAAGGGTTAGTTAACCCATCTATTACGACCGAGGGGTATGGAGAGATGGTTGGAATTCTTCTACCTTTAACCAGACGTCTCGTGTTTGAGTCCCGGAAATAGAGAACCTTTTGGTAGATAGAACTTTACTTTCTTTAGCGGATTTAGTTGATGCAACTCCAAATCTAGCCCAGTGAGCTTTAGATACCGGGTGGTTAAAACAAAAAGGGAACTCCTCTATCTTACCTTCACATCTTTTACTTGTCAAACAATGGTGATAACCCACAGTTCGCCCTTCTCTTTTCATCTAAATAATTCAAAGCACATCTTTCAAAATAATGTCCCGTTTTGAAACAGTGGTTACGCAGAAATGAATCAGGGTTTGTTCCAGGAAGAATCAATTAGGGACATCATTACCCTTCTCTCTCCTTCTTCCAGGTCTATTGTTTATAATATAATACGTTGGGGCAAATTAATTGTATTAGTGATATAGAAACTATATTGTTGTAAAGGAAAAACAATTATTCCCTATGTTTCAATTTATGTGTCATATTTCCTTTTTTAGTTTGTCCCAAAAGAATGTCATACTTCCTTATTTAGAAATAATTTAACTTCAAACATCCACTTTACCATTAATGAAATGATTTACAACCACACGAATATTAATGATTTGTTTTAGACCACAAGTTTTAAAAATGTTCCTTTCTTTCTTAAACTCCATGCTGACTTAAACACCGCCACAGAAAATTGGGACGGAGGGAGTAGCAGTTAAGCCCAAAATTAAATAGATAAATTGCAGGATGACTGATCTAGCAGAATCTTTTGTTCTAGGATCTTTAGAGCCTTTTCTGTCAATAGATGCTTATCAAAACAATCTTTAAAACCTTATGAAATTCATATAAACAAATATTGATGGAGTACTATTTTTGGGAAAAGGTTAACTGGTATCTCAATAGTGTTATACTAACTGCAACAAGGTGGAACATATATTTGAAGAATGATCTTCGCTCCATGTAATTTGTTGTACAGTGAATCCTGTTTTTGTTTTAAGCTAATAGCTACGTTTTTCTCTAATGTTCGGCCTGAGAAGAGCAGACCTTAGCTAATTTAGGGTCGAGGCTTAGTTAATTGATTGTTTGTTTAACTCCATTATGCTCGGAGGCGGTGGTTGAGATACCCTTTAATAAGTGGTGCCATATGACACCGAAAACATTTTCATTTTATAGACAAATGATATGCTTTTTAATACATACAACCACACACATTACTTCAACATAGCTTGAAAATAATACAAAGTAACTATTTATTTGGGACGTGAAGTATAGCCTTAAAACTACCACAGTTCCAAGACCCAAATCATTTAAAAGCCAAATTGTGACAACAAACCAATACTTATGTCTGCGTCACTGCTCATAGGTATTTCTTCATATATTGATATAGCCAGTGAAGATTGAATTTTGCCTATCACACTCATCTTATTCCATTGTCACAACCTCCTCCTATTCTCTTATGCCAGAGAAAGGGTATTTTATAGGGGCAGGGAAAGGGTTCTCTGCTAAACATAATCTTCTAACTTTACTCTTTCAATATCTTGCCTAATCTACACACAACTGACTTGAACAAGTTAAGTAAAAAGAACGATCGTAGGTATAAGTAAATATATGATTAGGAATTAGTTATAAGCATGATGAGATATTAATGCGTCCTAATTGTCACAACTCGCATTTTGGAGTTGTGATTTCGGCCAAGAACTGATGAGAAAAGAGCCTTCTGATGGTCTGACGTAGAGCAGTCTACTCGGGCAACTTGGGCTTTTTAATTTTAAGCATATATAAGGGGGGTATAGGTGATGAAAGCTCCGACCTGCCTCCCCNCCCCAGGGCGCGCATGGATTGTGATCCTAAGATGGAGCGCCACGACATGTCTAGGGCCAAGGGCCTAGGCATCTTACGGGCGGCACAAGTTGGGGCGAGCCTACGGGCGAGTCCCTCCGACAGGCACAGGATCGTGCTTGAGAAATCCTTGGACAGGAAGAAGGCTGGCCTGCAGCGAGGGGAACTGCAGGCGCCGCACGGGCGAGCAGGTGTCGCTACCCAACGTGAGGATTCGGGCCCGTGACATAATGCTGTGTTGAGTTAAAATCACGTATTTTCCTTAATGTTTGCTCTTGAAAGTTTGACCTTAATGCTCAAATAAGCTTGGAATTAGAGGGTGATATAGGAACTTAAATCAGCGAATACGGTGCACCACTACATTGTTATTTGTGACAAAAAATGGGTGCATGCTTGTCAGACGTATATCTTTTTATTGAAAATATCAGGTATTTGCAAATCAAACTGAAGGCAATGGGGTGGTAAATCTAAGTTTTATGATTAACCCCTTTTAAGATCTCACATGATATGTACACAATGTGGAGGTAATTTTCTCAGCTTGCGGTACTTGAATAAATTGGTCTAGTAGGCTGGGTCTATAAGGTAAACAGTAAGTCTTAAGGCTAGCATCTTATTGGAAACTGCTGGGCATTCAATGTGATTTTAACTATCAATAACTCCATAAGGATGTCTTTATTGTAGAAAAAGAAATTTCTCCATCACTTATTCAACTTCTCGCCGACCCCAACTTGCTTGGGGACTGAGGCATAGTTGTTACTTATTCAACTTCTGAGTTCTGGATCTCTTTTTTCCAGGTACAGTGACATTTTATCTTTATTTAAAGTTTCTTAATCGCATACCGGTAGGTGATTTAGTTTGACAAAATATAACGAAACAGCTCATTTCTGTTAACTTAATCCATTAACCTCAACGAAATTAACCCACTGGCTCACACATGTTTAAAGACCGTGAAATCTTTAAATTAGTCAATTTTCATATTGGTTTTGTGTTTCATCTTTCTTTCCTTTTCCTTTCTTTTCCCTTGAATTCGGTGTGTGAGGGGGGTGTATTCCGTTAGTCGACTTATAATCCTTACCCTTGGCTTGAATTATATATTTTTGATAATTATTTTTGATTGATGCAATAATAGAATTCTCAGTGCTTCATTTAAGCTCCACTTTTTTTCGTTGATAATTGGATAATCCTTAAAGTGTGTGTTTGTACTAAATTTGTATCAACTGTCAAAGAAAATAAATATAGCAGTAGAAGCAGTTATTATCTTAAATTCCTCTCTGGGAAGATTGTGGGGGAAACTATCCTTTTCAATCATTTTCTCTTTATTTCCTTTATGCTGGTGGGTAGCAAACAAAGTCTTCATAATTATACCCAAGCTCTGGCCACAAGTGTCTGGTCCTATAATGAATTTTCCCTTTGCTTTAGTCAAAAGCTGAGGTCCCAAATTAAAGGACTATTTTCAGGGTGGAATGTGGATAGCTAATATCCATACAAAGACAAGATTTGATAGAACTCTGTCAATGATTTCTGCTTATAATGTCCATGGAATACTTGAGATGAACAAGAAAATGGTTCAGAATATAAATTAAAAATTGGCATGTGCCATGGCAGAGTACCTCTTCATCCCCATTCATTAGTGCAGATTATAGAAAAATTTTGTGTCCTTTGGGGATGGCATTGGACCCGGGGCGGACCTAGAGCATTGGCTGCGGGTTCCCGGGAACCCAATAACTTTTGCTCAGTTCCTGTATTTATATTAAGAAATTCACTAAATATTTGTAAATATCTAACTGTGATCCCAGATATTATTACATATTAATTTAAAATTACGGTAGGAACTCATAAGTTTCAAATCCTGGATCCGCCTCTTGATTATTTATTTTGGACCCTCTAGTTTTTGGTTCTGTTTCTTTCTAGTGTTTTTTCCCCATATATTAAAGGTTTTGTACATATGTAGGGTATTCAAGGTACATCTTTTGATTGCTAGATTGACATCTTGACAATTATGGTGGCTTTGCGCTTTCTTTTTGAGTCAGTTTACTTGTGTCAGTACGCAGTGGGCGGACAACAAAGATAGAGGGTGTATTGAAATTTTGCACCTATTGATTTGAAATTCGTCTGTGCATGAAGGATCAGTCTACCATATGGAAAATAGATCCCCAAATAACTATTCCTGCCTATAAGTCATACGGAGGGAATCCATATTCCATGAAAGAAAAATTCACAATAGAAAGCCCAAATTGTATGGTGGATGACTTAAGAGGGAAACTACCAGAGCAATATTTATTTGAGAGGTATTACGCTTGAATATCATAATTAGTAGTATATGTTTTCATTCATTGTTCCTTGCCTCTCTGCCTTAAGTTTGTGTCCACATTACCTTTCCAGATCCCACCTGTTGAATTACACTGGATTTGTTGTTGTAGTTATTATATATGTTTTCATGTTGGAAATATTTAATTTTTTCTGAAACCCCTTTCCTTATTGTATTTCTGTGTATATCTTTTCAGAGGGACCAAGAAAAGGAGCATTACAATTGATATGTGGGCCTATTTAATTAGTTAGGTGAGCCAGAGAGCCCACAACTGTGAGCAGGAGTCAAAGAACCATATGTCACATGGAAAAGGACAGTAATGGGCGCTAAAAAGAAGCCCAGTTCTTTCCTTTTGTGGCAGGAATTATGTAAGCTTGTAATGTCATAACAGTCGAGAGGTGCGGTGGGATGGTTGAGATCACCCACTTTAATTAGAAGTTTTGACTTGAAGAGTTGATAATAAGAACCCCTTTATCGAGAATGCTTTGTCTCTCGCAGTAGCCTATCCGATGCGAATCCAATTAGTTGGAGGCCGGTGTCTTTTGACTACCAGATGCTTTAAAAATCGATTAAATTATATTGATAGTTTAAAAGCTTTATACATTATCAGAATATGTAACTTAGGTCTCATTTGTTTGTACTTAACGGAAGTCTGAATCTTAATCATTCA